TTAGTGACGTTACCGGGCGGCGGCGGTGCTCCGTTAGGGGGCGCCAGCAGCGCTCGGGAAGGGGCGGGGTTTAGAGGGGCATTACGTCATCGCGATGCGGGCGATGACGTCATGTCAGTGGATGCAGTTCGGTTGGGTTTTGGAGGAGAAGCGGAGTGTGACGTCACCGGGGGACGTGTTTACATGTCACCACCCATGAATGGGGTTTTGGGGGGCAGGGGGTAGGGCAGCCCTGGTGATATTATGCTTGTGGGGTTATGAATTTAATACCCATATGACATCATCGTCATGAGTGTTATGATGTCATAAGCTCTGTGATATCACCACTTTGGGGGTTTTATGCCATCACTGTTGCATTAGTGTGTTATAATGATAATCTCATACCATTAATGCTATAAAATGGCAATATGAGATCATAACTTCTATAGAATCAATTCTGTGGAGGTTATGACATCATAACCCACACGACACCATTGCTAGGCGGGTTATGATGTCACAGGTCTAGTGACATCATCACTCTTGGGGTGGTGATGCCACAACCCCATGACGTCAGAGCTTGGGGATATGACGTCATAAATCCCCTCTGCCAGAACCACCCCCGGCTCTGCAGCTCCCAGGAAGCCCCCAAAGCCCCCGAGGACTCCAAAGCCCCCAAAGAGCCCCCGTCCAAGTACCTGGAGCGGCCCTGGGAGTACCTGGAGAGTGAAGGTACCTGGGGGGGGTGCTTGGGGGGTCTCAGAGGGGTTTGGGGGGTCTCAGGGGGTCCCCAATCCCCCCAAACTGTCCCTCCATCGCAGAGTACCGGCTGACCTATGGGGACAGGCCCGTCTGGTTCGGGTACCGGCGCAACCACAAGGGATCCGTCCCCCCCCAGCGCACCCGCAAGGCCTGCCTGGTCAGACTGGGGGATACTGGGAGGGACTTGGCGGGGGGCACTGGGGGACGGAAGGGGAATGGAGAGGGACTCAGAGGGGATTGGGGGGGGATGAGGGGGAACTGGGATGCACTGGGGGGCACTGGGAGAGGATTGGGAGGGACTGGGGTGGGAACTGTGGGGGCACTGGAAGGGGATTCAGAGGGGACTGGGGGGCACTGGGAGGGACTGGAGGGTGGGGGAGGCAGAGTCTCATGTCTGGGGGTACTGGGTGGGCACTGGGATGTACTGGGAGGCCCCCCTGACCGTGTGTCACTCCCAGCGCCGGGGGAAGCCGGTGGGGAACCCGTGTCCCATCTGCCGGGACCGCAACCTGCTCGTCGACTTCCGGGTCAGTGCCTCTTTCTCCCACCCCTTTTCCCTCCTTTTTATCCCCTCTTTTTTCTCTTCTTTTCACGTATTTTCCCCGCTTCTTCTCCTCCCTTTATCTCTTTCTCCTTCCGCTTCCCTCATTTTTCTCCCTTTTCCCTTTTTTAACTCCGATTTTCTTGTATTTGCCACCATTTTTCCTCCCTGTTTTCCTCTTCTGCTCCCCTTTTCCCTCTCCTCCCTTTCTTTTCCCTCTTTTCCTCAGTTTTCCCTCTTTCTTTTCTCCTCCAGAACGTGAAGCTCCTGGATCAGTTTATTTGCCCGCACTCGGGGGTTGTTTTCCACCCCACACACACCGGTGAGGCGGAACTGGGAGCACTGGGGGGTACGGGGAGGGCCCCCTGTGTGCTGGGGGGCCCTGGGGGCGCCTCGGGGGGTCACTGACCGTGTCCCCCCCTTCCCCAGGGGTCTGCATGAGGCAGCACAAGCTCCTATCCAAGGCCATCGCTCAGGCCCAGGACCACGGTGAGAGCCCTCAGGGCGTCGGGGTGGGGGCTTGGCACCCCTGGGTGCCCCCCCAGACCCCCTCACCGGCCCCTCCCCACCTCCCTCCCCCCAGGGCTGCTGTGGCTGCAGGTCCCCTACGTGCCCACCCCCCGCGAGGACTTTTCCAAC